TTATATACTACTAAACCTAGTAGATATATATATACTTATTATAAGGGATATAAAGTAGGAATAATAAGAAATAAAGCAATATAATAGCTAGAAAGTCTATATTTAGCCTTATAGCTAAGAAGCTTAATTTAGCTTATAAGAGCTTAAAAATAAGTCTAAAAAGCCTAAAAGTAAATATTATCTTAAGCTAAAGCCTTAAATATATATAAAAACCCCCTAAACTTAATAATAAAACTTAGCCTTAATAAGTATAAGAAATAATAATAAATATATCTAACTAGCTTTATTAATATTAAGCTAAAATAGCTATAAGAAGTCTATTAACTATAATAAAGCTAAGGGGGACTTCCTATTTACTATTAAGTAGAGAGAAGATAGTAAGTATAATACTAGAGGTAATAAGTATAATAAGAGGGGTAGTAAGTATAATAGATATAATAAGAGCTAGAGGAGGAGTAAGTATAGAAGTAGGGGTAGCTAGAGGTATAAAGGTAGGTATAATAAGAATAGGGGTTTTAGTAATACTATTCTAAGTAAGGGTAAAGGTATACTAAATATTAGCTCTCTAGTAATTAAGATCCTATATTTAAAGTTAGTAAAAGATTAAAAAATACTTCTAAAATATAAAAAACGCCTTTAAAATTAAGAAATACTTCTAAAAAGGTATTATACTTATAGCTTAGTTTATAAAGTTAAACTCTATAACCTCTTAGAAGTAGTAAGTAAAAAGTATTATAATAAGTACTAAAAGGATATAAAGATAACTATAAGAAGTAGAAGTATATAAAATATACTAATTCTTCTTATAGTACTTTATATTAGAGGTATTAATAGGAGTAGATATAAAGTTATAATAATAACTTTAGGTCTTATTTATAAAAGTAGACCTAAAGTACTCCTTATAAAAGACCTTATAATAGAGAGGTCCTTAGGGAACTATTTCTAAATAATTAATATAATACTTCTAATAACTAAGATACTCTAGATAATATATATATAAGGTATTATACTTACCTTTATCCTCAACTTCTTTAATAGTAGAATAGGGGGGATAGGGGGGAAGAGGTATAAAAAAACTAGAAAGCGTAGTAAGCTCCTTATTATTATTATTATTATTAGAAATAAGGGGGAAGCTATTAGTAGTAATAATAGTAATATTAATAATAGCTTTCTTATATTTATATACCTTATATATATAAGTAGTAGCTTTCTTCTTAGAAATAGGTATTATAAATTTTATCTATTAAATAGTTAGTAAGGGTTCTAATAATTATATTAAGTAATCTAATAATTATTTTAATAATATATAAGTATTATAGTAAGTAATTTAGGATTTTTAAAAACTTACTTTTATAAACTATAAGTAATCTAAAGAAGAAAAATTTAATTATAAGAGAGTATAAAAAGTTTTATTTACCTCTACTACTTATACTTAATAGCTTATATTAACTATATTAGGAAATTTTATTAATTCTAAGTATATTTATAACTTACTTTAATAACTAAATAACCCTATTAAGTACTCTTATATTCTATAAATATAACTATAAATACTAATTTTATTTATCTATTTACTTTATTACTTTAAAAGTTATTTTTATATATTTTATATAATAAATTTAGATAGGTTTTAGGTATATAGTAGTAAGGAATAGGTTTTTTAGCTATTTATAATATCTAAGGGGGTATATTATAATACCCTTAATCTGAACTATAGCCTCACCACTTATTATATAACGTATAATATTATATAAGCTATACATATAGATATTAGCCTATGATACGGACCACCCTTCTGAATAGTTACTCCTATAATACACCTTTATTCCTGATGACCTGCGCGCCCGTAACTCGCAAGAGTAGGTAAGTAAATTGGGGTGTCGCATTGCGGGACAACAGCTCTTTATCAGACCTCTTCTCGTGATCGACATGTGGCTGCCCCTCATCTTCAAGAGAATTCACAGAACCATTTCGTAGGTTCGAAACCTTACACCAAGCTTTCCCTTGGACCCCTTCTTTACGACCCAAATGTCGCGATACTTGGGATAGTGTATTCCTGATTTAGTTCATTCCGTCGGCAATTGGGTGAGACTGTTATTTGAACTCATATTGAGATGGCCTCTTCACGCAGCTGCCCCGTGTAATATTTACGTATTGCGCCTCAACGCGATGTTTACGAGCTTCATCGTCAAATACAACATTGCCGCATAGAGCAAGGGAGTATGTCGATATGATGTCACTCATCAAATTTCACGAATTAGAATTAGAATAGGTAAAAGCCCGAAAAGATGGATGGATGAAGCTTTGTCCAAGTCCCTGAGTTCAAATCTGACAAGCCTCCACAACCCTCGGTCTCTTCCGGTGCCTCTGTACCCCGCCTTTGTAGTGGTCTAGACCAAGATGTCAGGGTTCAACCCAGGCTGTCACGATTTGCGGCGAGCGTCTCGCCCGATCCTTCTCAGCCCAGAACATCCAGTTGCGGGGGAGACACCACCCCCAGACATTCGAGGTGAAGGGTTTCATGATATCCTTTAGCATGTGCATCTCTAACCTGCTTTCACCGTCTCGACAATTCCATTGTATCGATACTTGGCTTGCGTGTCTAGATACTCCCGTCACTGCCGGAGGGCCGGAAGCCTTGTGCCAAACATATTGGGTACTCCGCCGACACTTCGGCATCCCTCCGCAACAATTGGCCCCACTGATCGGGCCCGGCTGGGCCATTAGGCTTTATTATTCTCGCAAATTCTTAGTCAGGTGTCGCTGGACGGACTGGTTGGCCGGGTGAAGAGATCTTTGGCTCGTGGAGCATTCTAAGGATGGCATCCTAGTCTGTGCTCTGAAGTACGAGACAACGCGTTCAATCTGCTGTCTGGCGACTGGATCGTCTTACTATTAACTATGCATGTACCGTAGGATGCCAATCTTCATTCGGAGCCTTTCCCCGATCTTTGCTGCAGACAGATGAGACATGGCACGAAGGGGCCGCCTGTCGACAGGTCAATACTCATTCAGAATCATGGCTACCTATTTCTACCTGCGGCTGACACAAAGACCACAGGCTCCCCGCCTACCCAATGAGAGGCGCCGTTGAAGTGCTACCGAATAGAGAGAATCATAAATATGATGTCTGAATATGAATGACGTATAATAAGTCACATTTTCGTAGGCATCTATGGTCTCGTAGCTAATTAATGCCAGGTGGCCAAAATATCTTCCCAGGTGACTTGACCAGCTTGCCCCCTTTCCAAACGTATCTAATATTGTCACGGTCTACGAAAAGCTTCATATTCTCCAGTGGATCATCATCCAAAGCAATGAGATCAGCATCCAATCCTACTTTCACAAGTCCCTTCTTTGGTGTAAAAGCCCCTAGTGTCTCCGCAGCATTAATAGTGGCAGCTTCGATGGCTTGCAGCGGAGTCAAGCCGGCTTTTGTTGCCAGGTAGACTTCTTCACAACTGTGCCCAGGGGATAGAAGGTCCCCAGGGTCACTGGAGCAGATACCGGTTCCGAGAGCGATCTTCACCCCCATATTGACCGCTGTACAGTAGGCCTTGTGAGCTATGCTGGCAATATGCTTCAGCTTCGCTGCTGTCTCAGGCGGCATGCGATCAAGTTTCTTGAGACCGGCATGAGTGATGTAGGCGGTAGCTACCAGAGTCACACCGTGCTTGACCATCAACTGAGCAACTTCCTCGTCAATGTAGCTTCCGTGTTCGATAGTCCGAACTCCAGCCTTCACCGCAGCAATGATGCCTTCCTTGCCATGGGCATGGGCAGCAACGGTTCTCCCTTGCATTGCAGCCTCATCCACAATAACCCGAAGCTCTTCGTCAGAGTAGGACCTAAAGCTGGGGTCCTCGTTGACACTCATCACGCTGCCGGTGGCGAGCACCTTAATGACAGTTGCCCCACGACGAATCTGCTGGCGGACAGCCTTTCGGCACTCTTCAACACCATCTGCCAACGCGAAAATGGATTGACCAGACCAAAGTCGTTGACCGGCATTATCCGTACCTTGCCGTGACCACACCGTGTCGAGAGGTAGAGTGACAGCATCGCAGCCTCCGCCAGTCATGCCAAGGGCAGCACCGGCGCCATAAACAGTTGGCCCCATGATGTAACCAGCTTGGACCGCAGCGTACGCTTCGAGGCCGTAACCGGAGAGCTCCTTCACGCTAGTGACGCCGGACATGAGAGTATCGTGGAATCCGCGGGCGATAGCTGCGCCAGCGGTGGCGGGATGATTGAGGATTATCTCGGGATAATCAACTTTGCCAACGCCGCAGTAGTGTATGTGGCAATCCCAAAGACCGGGCATGAGACAGACGACGTGGGTTCTGGGGGCAGCCGCAAGCTCATCGTCAATGTCGGCTTGTTTGCCAACATAGGTGATGATGCCTGACTTGGTCGATATTCCTACGGCTGCTTGATAGATGGGGTCGCCGCGGCCTGGGATAAGCTGGTCGGCGAAGATGCATGACAAATCGCTATGCTTAGGCTTTGAACGCTGCGCGGATTCGAGTTGAGGAGACGAAACGATATGCCATTCATCTTCATCAAAGGGCAAACATGCCGTTTGCTTATGGCTTGCCTGTTCGGATACGCCAAGCAAAAACTCCGAACAGTGAGCGCAGGCCATAGCTTGAGAACGGACCGTTTCGGTGAGGGTTTGAGTAGTTGGTAACAAAACAACAATGTCAGTCAGAAGCCTGGAGTCCACAGGATAGCCTGTCGTCAAAAATGGTGTTCTCGGTCACAAAAGGCGTGGGGGTAAGTGATTATCGAGAATGGTCCCCCACAGCACCACGATAAGCTATCGTTCATGCGGGAGCGCAGCCGTTGACTCGATCTAGTAATTCAATCGCGGGTACTTCATGCTGATTGGTCAGCATCATCACTCATCTGAATCGAATGCTCACGTTGTAATCAATCCTAGAATAGTCGTGGGAAATCTTGACGATGTTGTTACACCATATTCTATTCGTCAAGCAACAATGGCTCCGATCTCCGACGTATTATCCCAACGTGCCATCAAAAGCTTCACCCTAGGCGAAAGGGCAGATTACTTCTGGGAAGTGAAGAAACTCCCGCAGTACGACGCACAAAAGAGACCAGATGGGTTCATTGATCTTTCTGGATCTGTGAACAACCTTATGCACGACTGGACGAAGGAATACGCCGACGAAGCGATCCGCGGTATGGATGCTCATTTCCTGCTGAACTACGGCCCCCTTCATGGTTCAAAAGACGTTCGGCACGGTGTTGCCAACGTGTACAACAAATTCTTTAACCCGAAATGTCCCATTGATGACACCAATATTTTCGCAATCAATGGCGTGAGTTCAGCGATTGACATGCTCGCGTGGGTTCTTGCGGACCCCGGTGACACAATATTGATCCCAGTTCCGACGTTCTTCATGCTAGACTTCGACTTGGCAGTACGGACTGGGATTAAGGTAGTCACAGTTGCCACAGACCACCTCGAAGATACTTTTGGTCCTGGTTCTGCTGAAGAGTTTGCCGAAGCCATTGCCATGGCTGCGGACGGCATTCACGGCAGTCGGGTACGTGGTGTCTTTCTCTGCAATCCCCAAAACCCACAAGGCCGTTGCTACTCCAAGCAAACCCTCCGCGCGTTGGTCGAAACATGCCGTCAACGGGGCTTGCAGCTAGTGGTGGATGAGATATATGGCCTGTCGCATTTCGGAAGCGAACGGGAGCCTTTTACCTCAGTTCTGGGCGCCACGGATCAGAGATCAGACAACCATGTACACAGCCTCTGGGGCTTGAGCAAGGATTTTGGTATGGGCGGTCTCAGACTGGGATTCGTTGTTTCTAGAAATGGAACATTGCGAGAGGCATTGGCTAGGATCTCGTGAGTTTCCCCCAACGAATTCTCAAGATTGGTTCCTGAATCATGCATATTAATGAATGTTGGCACATCCTAGTTGGTTCACCTGGCCGGCTTCGTTTTCCGATAACTTTGCGTCTCGCCTGCTTCAAGATGAATCGGCTCTTGAGAACTATGTACGCACATACCAAAGCCGGCTTGCACAGGCTTATGAGAACGTATCAGAAGCTCTCCTTCAACACCAGATTCCATTTCAGTCTGCAACTGCGGGGTTGTTCATCTACATTGACCTTCGAAGGTGGATCAACCAATTTGAGGGAGCAGATGACCCCGAGTTGCAGTTGTGGAAACATCTTGTGAATTCAGGAGTTGGCGTAAATCCAGGAAAGGTAAGATACAGAGTAGAATTATTGGAATGAGTCAAGTGGCTGATCCGCACCTCAGTTCGCGGGCAGTACCAAAGCAGGCTTTTTTCGGCTGGTGTTTACCAAAGATGTTGACGCCACTGTAGTCGCTATCTTGAGGATGGGCGTGGCACTTAAAAGGCTTGAAGCGAAAGTCTGAAAGAAGCGAGATCATGCTTTGGGGAATCAAGGGCATGAGCGAAAAAATGTCAGTTAGACTCAATACATGACGTATGAACATCCTTAAGGACCATAGTGAGGAGGGCATCGATTGTCACGCGAATGTATGGGAACCTAATAGATTGCTAATGACTGGCTTGTAATGATATATTGCTGACTCCAATGGGAAAGCCATATGATAGGTCTCCGCGAAGCACTATACCGATTGACTACTTATAGGAACCAAAATACTACAATCGGCACTTATCGTCGTCAATATCAAACCCATCTCTCAACTGCCATGTCCATACTGTAGCATTAGTATAAGACTGGACCACTTCGAAGCAAGGACCGAGGCTTCCCTCCGTTGGACGAATTACCGGGCCGCCCGATGCCACAACTTTGTATTCATCAACGGCTGACGAACCAGCATACTTGGTGAGAAGATCAAAGTAGGCGTCTGTTTTACAGGAGGAGTCATCAGCTCGACAGAGGTTCATCAACTCGACAACTACGTCGTCCAGACTCCGAGTATTATTCCAGCGAGCGCGCACCTCAGCGTCAACGTTGGCCAAGTAGATGAGACCGCGGCCATAGGGAACAGTTTGTGCCGTTGATACAGTCCAAGACTGATCCACCGCCTCTTTGTCGGTCAAGTTGATTGACGGGTTTTGGTAGTAGGCAATCGCTTTGGTGTTCATTGCTGTCACGTACTCCAACGTGCTGAGCAGCCCTGTGCGCCACAAGTTGCGAAGTGAGTAAAATTCGGCAGTGCCCTCCGCATATCGGGTTTGGTCGGAAAGATTGCCGTTGTAGATGTAAGGCCAGTTGTGGGTGATCTCATGAGCGAGGAGTAGCTCAGTGTCATTGGTGGTGGTTTTGTTCCGATCGTGCCACCCGAACGTGAAGGAGTTGTGAAGGGCTGTGCCTCCTGTTCCAACGTTCTCATTGTATCGGATGAAGACCTTGTAAGGCTTGGTTCCATCATCTTGCCAGAACGTTGCCGAGTAATCGTAGAATTCTTTGATGAATGATGCGAGATAGGTTACGTTGAAAGGTGGCTGCTCAAGCCAGTACATGTTGAACTGGCTAGCTTCTGATGCAGAGGAGCTTGAGAGGATGGGTCCCACAGCGAAAAAGGTACTCAGGAGATCGTCTGTGGTTCCGTTGATAGTGACAGGCTGAGGCCCTTCGCCCCAAGTCCAGACTCCTCTAGTCCCGGAAGGGGAGGTTGACAGGTCCCAGGATAAGGTAATTTGAAATTCAGTGGAGGTGTCATCGGGGGCCGGGACCAAAGCCCATATTGATCCAAGAATGCCACCTGCATTTTCTCTGATGTCGAAAAGAGGACCCATTTTCGTCGTCTCGTTGACTTCACGGGGATGTGCGGTGAAGGAGATTGCGACAGGGGGGACAACGTCTCTGGTAGCGATCCAAAACCGACTTGCCAGGCCAGAAGACCCGGTGCCCTCGGTGATGACCAGAGGAAGGTTTCCAGCACCATCAGTTGCAGTCAAAGACTCCGAATCGTACTGCGCAGACGGCTGGGCGGCAATAGTGAGTGGAAGGGCAACCACTGTCTCGTTGGCTTTGAAAGAGATGTCCGTGGTGAGTTGACCACTCAGACTCTTCGTTCCATTATCAGGAGCCAAATCTGGAGTAAGGGCAATGTTGATGTATGGGAATGTAGCCGCGATTGCCTGATTGGCAAAGGCCACGGCCAAGAATATGCTTCTCATTGCTTGACAATTGGTGAGAAGGGCGAGGTCGACGGGAGAGAAGCGAAGTGGTTCAACAAAGAGACTGAGATGTCCGGATGTGACGAATCTAGAACATGATGAATAGTTATAGAATATCATGGACAGCCAGAGGAATATATACGCCTCTGAGACTGCACGCAAATCCACACATCATCGTTATTCTTCAGGAGCATTCCGGCACTCATAGCGCGACAAGGGTTGTTAAATGACGGCTCGTCATCGGTTGTGGAGACGCTTTGAACCCATTTCCTAATTCGGGCAGCAAGAACGCGGTCTCGTCTAGCGATGGGGCTGGGTTTAGCTTCACGAGGAAGCCAAGCGACGTAAATATACATAGAGTACCTAGTCCCCATGAAAGGAAATTTGATTTTCAATTACTCAGTCATTCCGTATCAATATTCTTTTGAAATTCTGCACAGCCGACAAAGATGGCCATTTTGAGACCCCTGCAAGATGGTTTCATACGTCTTGCTACTGTCACGATTATCTTACATTCAGCTCAGCTAGCATCCCCGGTAGCCTCGGCAGCTTCGGTCAACAATAATACATGGAGTTTAGTGGCTACCGGAGACCTTCTCGGAGACATTGTCACCACAAATGATTCCCGAACACAAGCATTGTGGGACATCACACGATCGGCGGATTTTGCCTTCTTCAATATGGAGGGCCAACTTTTCCGTGACGCAGATTTCACTGGATATCCTTCTTCGGAGAACGGAGGCGACAATGACTACGGAAACGTTGGTGGCGGGCCAACCTATGATCCCAGTCAGGCGCTCCTCCTTGCAGACCTTGGCTTCAACTTAGCCTCTCAGGCGAACAACCACGTCTGGGACTATGGATTCGACGGTTATCATGAAACCAGAAACAACTTAGAAGCCGCCAAAATTACATCCGCTGGATCTGGAGCTAGTCTGGCGGAAGCTCGCGATGCCTCTTTCGTACAGCGCGGTAATACGCGGCTTTCTCTCATCTGTGCCGCCGGGACCCACACCCCCGAGTCGGTCGCTGGCGCCGGGGACCCCTCGGACAACCTTGCCCCGCGACCTGGTGTCAGTGCTCTTCGCACATCGCTGACCACAGTTGTTGATGGCGAGACCTTTGACAACATTCTTCGTGTCGCACGTGCCCAAGGACAATCGGATTTGACGGACGATGTCGCAGAAGTGACTCTGTACACCGGTCAAAGCCCCATGTTCTGGTCTTCTTGGCGGCGTGCAGACTCCAACGAGACAACTCCCAAGCTCGATTGGAACACCAACGAAGATGACTTCAACGGGATTATTTCTTCGATTCGGGACGCAAAGGCCACTTCGGACGCCACCGTATTCTCACTCCACGCCCATGAGAGCGACTCGGGCGCATACGATTCAATCATTCCTCTCCCTCCTGCATCGACGGTACCCGCATCGTATATCACCAACGTCAGTCGGTCTGCAATTGAGGCTGGAGCGAGTGTGGTGCTCGTACATGGACCGCATCATCTCAGGGGCATTGAGATATATCAGGGTCGCCCCATTTTCTACAGCCTCGGCTCTTTTACTTACAGCCTTGGGCTTCACTTTCGCGGGGCCTCGTTGCCAATCGAATGGGACGATGGTCTCATTGCCCATACCGAGTTTGTTGATGGGACTGTTACCAAGATCGCACTTTACCCCACGATACACAACCAACTCACCAATAACACATCGCTGGCTGACCGGACCATGCCAAAGCTGGCACCCCTTGCCGAGGCCCAACGCATTTTGAACTATTTGCAAGAAGCTTCCAGACCGTTTGGCACTCTGATCAATATTAATGGAGGCACAGGTTATATACTTGTATCTCCGTAGATGCGAAGTGAGGGTGGGAATGCTGCAGACAAACACGGATATAAATATTGGTGAACAGCTCTACCACCAACCCATGTTATCTTTCCAGTATTGAGCTGTTTTCAGTTCTGCCAACTTCATAGCGTTGTATCCTTCGGCTGTGACTGCACTGTAAATCGCATTCATCATTTCTGTCGTCTCCGTTGTTATTGTCGTGACCAATTGTCTTCATTATTTGAGACGCCATTGCCGCTGGGCGTCTTGAAAAAACCATCTTTCACCTGCGCTGCCAAAACATTGTACAATACCTTACTTGGAAGAACTTTCATGTGGAAAGACAGCCTCAGTTTCAACTTTAATGAGATACGATGACATTTCAGAATACAAATCAGAGCTCGAATTATGCATCTACAGGAATGAGATCGTTCAGGTACCGACCATCAGCCTCTCTGCCACACAAAAGCACATGCTGCCCACCGCCCTTGGAGAAAAGAACTTCGCGAGCTTCCCAGGCGGAATATGTAAAGGAGGCTGCAAATATTGCGCGGCCAGGTTTGGCAGCCATGTACCTGAGTATCGCCCGGTTGCAAGATCTGGCGGAGTGCAACGGCGTGAATGGACCCTCGTAAAGCACGCCGACAGCCATCGACCTCTGGATGAACTGCTGTAGCGCCTCAAACCCACCCCTACCGGCTCCGAGGATGGAAACTTGAACCAGCATCGAGAAGATCCCAATTCTATACGTATTTCTCTTTTGACACTCAACTGGGTCGAGTTCGTCGGTGATTCGAAGCAACAGATTCAGCCATGGGTTGCTTCTCATTGGAGCGCAATCGAATGCATCCGCCTCGTCTTCCACAGAAATTCCCAACTCTTGTGTAAGTCTCTGGACGTTGCTCTCGGTACAAAGTAACTGGGCGAATGCATAGTCAGCCCACGTCATGGCTATTTGATGAGTCGGAAGGCGGAGAGGTGCATGAGGTCTGGCACAAAATGCTTCCGAGTCGGGTAAAAGAGCAGACAATATCCCTTCTGGAGCTTCGCATGTAGCCAGGGTAGACTGGAGATTTCTGAGCTCCTTGAACAGCTCCTCATCTGGGAGCACAGTATCGGGCTCCGTGTGTTCGTCTGAAGGTTCTCCGAATGAGGTACCCTTCAAGATTTCCCACCACTGCGTCACTTTACTCAATGTCTCCGCGGCTGTATCCCCCCTTTCATAGAAACATTTCGAGAAGAGCAGCCGCTGACTGATCCTTGACGCCTGGCATCCAATGACCTGTATCCTTTGTGGTGGATGTACCAAACTTGGTACAAGTTCCACAAGGAGAGATTCGCTGGCTGATTCGATTCCCAGAGGATGTTGAGGCCCACGACAGGCCAATTCAAGGTATTTGAGATGTGCCCAAATGCGGCCCAGGTCTTTGCCGGCAGCAAGCGACAGGACCTGAGTGCGATGATTTCGGATGCCACCGTCGAGCACCGCGAGAGCCCGCCTGAGATCAACAATCGTCCCAGTCTCTAATTCGTATAGTGTAGCTAGAATCAGGACGGTTAAATGAGCCTCCCACGGCATGTCTGGATGATTTTCAAGAATATCGGCACATCTGACCACGTAGTTAAGTGCTCTAGACGAATGAATCGGTGCTGGTACCCATCGGTTATGGTCAGATGAGTGATGCCCACGGAGGTTTGCGAGGCTGGCGGCCGCCAAAGCCATAGCTGCATATCGGAGGGGAGCGTTGTAGAGTATCATCTTCCACAGGCTGTCGAGGCGGACGGGCAGATTATTGATCACGTTCAATCTTAAGTGGGCTAGGTATGGCCTATCTTCAACAGAGACTGGAATCGGTTTCTGTGTAGACGGAGATTCTAGTTGATTCTTAAGGACGGTCCAAGAAGCTGGAAGTAATCCACGCCGCGAGGTACGATTTGCTGAGCAGACAGGTGATTGATCCTCATGGGCGGAGGTCTCTGAAGCCCGAAAGATTTCACCCGCTGGTGTAGGATTGTCCGGTGATGAGATCGTCGTCGCAGAACAGGAATCCCCTCCACGGTGGCATGTGGGTGAAGTTGGAGAGGGCAACAATGACGGCATCAATAAGTCCCACGGAAGGCATTGGGTATCCCCTGATAACATTGGAGACACAGGTATGAAGTCGGTCATTGACGATGTCAGAAGCTGTTCTGCGTCGAGGAAAAACTCGGGTGACAAATGATCCATTGAGTCGTCTTTACGCCATTCATGAATGTCGTAATTGGCGGCTGAGTTGATGTCTTCCTGTCGGACACCGGACACCAATGATGTGTTGCGGTCATCAGATTCAAGGACTGGTGGGGTAGGCGGCAGTGGAGCAGTGCTTGGCTGCTGCCGTATCGCATCCGCTGTGTCAAGCTGATTGACTGCGAAACCAGCTGGATGGGCAAGATTTTGCCGCTTGCAGTCTCGGGTTGCCAGCTTTCTGACAGCTTGATCTTTGGTTGAAGCAGCACTTCCAGCCATCTTCAGGCGACGGACCTTGTTGGCAGCCCACTGCGTTGCGTCTTTGAATTCGAAGGCGCCAAACTCATACTCGCACGAACTTGATGTTGCAGAACAACGCCGGCAAGCCGGTCTCTGTTCATCACACTGCTTTTCAATCAGCTTTGCATCACACCAATCTCGTCATCGCACCCCAACTCACCTTTCTTCGCTTACGTCGGCACTGGAGACAACCCGTCTTCGTTCGGGTAATGTCTGTTTTCTTGGGTCTAGCCGGTGCGGGATCGTACATGTTGACGGAAGGGTGCCAAGCTGGGCGAGGGATGGTCCAGGAACGTGGCAGATGGCCGGAGTCTTCATACACATTCACGCGACGAGACTAGATCGCAAATTGCTCAGAGATGTAGCTGTGGGCGAATCCAAAGATCACGATGAGCTATAAACGAACGCAGCTATCTCAACAGCGATAAGAGTCCAGCCGCGAACCTTGCACCGCCAAAATAGGAAGACTGTGAATGCGGGGAAACAACTTAGTCTACATTGTGTCCTTGCCTCCCCGGAACCACCCTGCACCCTTGTTTGCAATCCCCACTTTCAGTGGATATCCTTGCAGTACATGGCGTGCGGAATTGAGTTGCAAAACATGGGACACCGGCAAAGACCAATATCGACAACCTCGACACTAAGAGGCATAGTTCGAGGCAAACATCCGGGTTGAATCCATGTCCTCCGATACGCGATAGATAAAATGGCAAAAACGCGGAAACGAATACCGTTACTTGGGCCGCGAATAACCTTACATGGATGTGACAACGCGTGTTCGAGTTGGTGATCTAACCCAATCGGGTCAACGGGAACGCACGGCGAAGAACACCGTGTAAGCCAACTGATCACCCAAAGCTGTTATCTGCTGCCATGGACATCGGTATCCTAAACTCGGTTAGATCTTCTTCGCGCACATTCGAACTGGCTATCAGAAACCTGTAAAGCACATAGCTTATCTTATTATCGGCAAATCGCCCATGCAGATGCATTGATAGCCACAAGATCATTTCCAGACGTGCATGATGCGAGTACTTAGCGTTGTTGTTGACTCCAACGGGAAATCATGAACCACAGTGCAGCTGTTCCTGCAATGCAGAGCTTATCGCGGGGTTGAAATGGCCTCAGCAGCTCATAATGACGGTTGTAAGATAATGATATGGGACACTGGTCGATAACAACAGCCCTGTTGCAAAGGTTCTCATTGCACAGATGTGATTGTAGATCTTTTGAAAAACATTGTCATAAAATACCCAAATCTGCAAGATTTGTTTTCTTGAAAGCTGGCACGGCTTGCTCTCAAACCTTTTAGATAGCCCACCTTTCAGGTTGCGAACTTTTGACTGACATATGCGCTATAATGGCCAACAACTCTCAAAGCCCCAACATACGTGCCAACTCAGGGGTAGGATTGAATAGCCAGCCCGACGAGACTGAATTGAAGGGTGATGAAAAGCGAAGGAAAGAGACCAATGTTGAGAAGGCCGAGAGCGTTATTGAAGGCGTCACAGAGGAGCAGGATCAGTTCACACCTCTTCCAGGAGTGAAGTCCTACGATGGAAGAAGAATCTTGACGGTGCGTGCCGTCACCACAGGCGTATTCCTGGGCTCAGTTATCAACTGCTCAAATCTCTATCTTGGTTCGTGGCCAGCATGGAAATTCCACCCTCAAAGAAGATGCACTAATAACAATGTTCGGGGTCGCAGGCCTGATGACTGGGTTTGGCGCTGATGCCACCCTATTCGCGTCAATATTCGGCTATGCTATTTGCAAAGCTCTGGAAAAGTCGAAGGTACGATTAGCTTTCACCCATATGACCAGCCACGTAATTTCGAGCTAACGAAGCTTTACCCATGACCTAGGTTCCCTTCTTGAGCGGTGATTTCGGGCCTCATGAGAACAACATCATTCAAGCAGCCGCCCTGGGATGCATCGGCATCGGCTTTATGTTCATGAGCGGTGTGCCTGCCATGTACCAACTACATCTCCTGGGAGCGACCCCTCAGTCGGACTTTGGAAGATTGATTTGCTTCGCCCTTGTTGCAGGATTCTGGGGCCTTGGATTTACGGTGCCGCTGCGGAATCTATTCATCCTCCGCCTTGCACGTCAACTCAGCCTCTACTTCCCGCTTGGAACGGCGTCTGCGATCACGATTCAGACCCTACATTCAATCGAAGGCAGCACGGGACAGGCACGACAGCACGTCAAGGCCATCAGTATCTCGTTTATCTCCTCTCTGATTTGGTCTGTGGCTACATCATACGCTCCCGGCATCCTTTACACCTGGAATCCCTTATGGTGGATTTTCACATGGGGAGGACGGTCTGTGATCTCTGCCATCAGTTGGGGCTGGTTCTCGTGGTCGTGGTCACCCTCCATGATCGGGATCGGTGCCCTTATTGACTTAAACGCGGCACTGTCATATCTCCTAGGAACGGTTCTTGCCTGGGGAGTAGTAGGCCCGATAATTGTTCACAAAGGCGCTGCTGTTGGCATACCCTATACACCTGACTATCCCGAGCTTCTCACGTATAACGCTTTCATTCCGACTCAGTTCCGCACAACGCCCTCCCCACGCTACTGGATGCTTTGGCCCGCGACATTCATGATGCTTGGTGTCTCGATCACGACAATTCTCCTCGAGGCAAAGAACTTTGCACGGATGGCGAGGTACGGTATCTTTAATGTTCAAGCCAGGATCACCCGGCGAAGAGACGCAAGTGCAGGTTCAGATATGATTCTGAAGAGAGGGCAAATTGCCGGGGAAATTGCAGATCCTGTCGCTCCCGAATATCAAGTGCGATGGTGGGAGTGGTCATCAGTGACACTCGTCTCCGTCATCTTTGCTCTTGTGGCTCTCAAATACGTCTTCGGTATCCCGCCAGCACTGAACCTACTCAATCTTGGCCTCGGCTTCATGTGGTCGTTTGTAGTCATCCAGGTTTATGGTGCCTCGGGAACAACACCCATCACAACCGTCGCGAAGGGCTCTCAATTCATCACAGGTGGCATCCTTCGTCACGAGATTCAGCATCGAGGCTATGAATCAGTAGCTCGGATCAACCTCGCAGGATGTGTCATTAGCTCGGCGGCTGCTCAACAGGCTGGTGAGTTGTGTCAAGATTTCCGCACTGGCTTCTTACTCGGCACTCCGGCACGGCCTCAGTGGCATGCACAAATGATTGGCACTTTCGTCGCTGTATTTCTTTCGCCAGCAATCTTCCTCTTATTTGCAAAAGCATTCCCGTGCATTCTCGATGCCGAGGCAACGACCTGTCAATTCACTCTTCCAGCGGTTACATCCTGGCGCGTCGTCACTCAGGCAATCTTCATGGACACATTTCCCATATCTCAGTCCAGCTGGATATTTTCTGTATTGATGACACTCCTAGGAATGGGGAGTGTTGCCCTAAAGAGATACCTTGTCGGTCACAAACGCCTCAGCTCTTATCAAGTTTGGGTTCCGAACATGTCGCTCGTGGGTCTGGCGATGACCATCCCAGGGTCTTCAGTGACTTTGACGGTTACGATCGGAGTTGTCACCGCGTATCTGTGGAAGCGATACTCCCCAAGAACGCATGAGAGATTTCTTTATGCTGTTGCGGCAGGTGGAGTGGCTGGTGAGGGTGTCGGGTACGTTGTGCAGAGTATTCTGCAGATTGCTGGGGTGGCGGGAGTGGGAACAACGTTAGGATGCGTGGCTGATATTTGCTGAAGGATATTTGACTGGTCTGCCTCGTAGAAAGCCTCAACTTGGAACTCAGTGATCATGTTCAGTCGTGCCGTTGTGCTTGTGGGTTTCCATAGGTAGCCATTCAAATAATCTTGCCTTACCTGTTTCCCTGAGTGAACTGCATTTCACGTGCGTTGAAAAGGCCTTTGAAACCTGAGCATTACGTGAAAGAACCAAATAGACTAAAGCAAAGCACTCGTTCCCTGTTTTGTAGAGTTGCCCCTGGTTCGAGACTTTCTGCGACGAGAAAAAGTGATCAATGATTAAGACCCCTTCTGTCTCACCTAAATCTGAAGCCATCTCCGCACCACTGCGCCCACAGCCTCTGGCTGATTAAACGGCGCAAAGTGGCCTGCCTCATCTACCGTGTACAGAGAAAGCCGATCACTGCCTTTGAATGTTCCACCTTTTGATGCATCTACATTTTTGGTAGAGGATACCAAATTCCCTCGTTGATAATGCCAATCGCTATAGCTCTCTGCGCGAAATGAGGCCTGTCCTTTCCAAGGCTGCTCATCCAGCATGCGAATCTGACCCGGCGTATTACTGTTCAAGAGAATTATGAGCGCCAGCCGCGAAAGATCTGGTAGGAAGAGTTGAAGGATGTGGCTCACATAATAATGTCATTGTTGCCGTTGATGAAAAGGATCCGGATGTCGGTGTTGTCAAGCAGCCATGTCATTTCCCTGGTAACGGGAAGGAACACATTCTTTGCTTCAGTCCACCTGCCATTAGTGTCAAAGTCGATAAGCTCGAACGATGTGTTCGGGAACCCTAGCATGTCCTGTACCCAGGGCTGGTTGAAGAACTCAAAGGTTGCGTCTTTGTCGAAATCTGAGCATAGCGGGGGCTTTTGGCATTTCAGACGACCTGGGAACAGAAGTCATTTACTTTTCCAACAGTCTGCATCTGAAATAATAGATGTAAAATGATGTGGCCACTATTGAGCACCCTAAGCATTAAATGAAACCTAACTTACTGTCGTACGGGTTCCAACCTCCAGGTCTGACATCCGCAGCATAGGGCGCCCCCACAGTCTCGTCACAAGACAAAGCGGCCGCGAGGCAAACCTCCTTATCATATGTCTCACGGCAGTGTTGTCCGAGAATTTCGCAGTGAGGCACTGCAGCTTCCATGAAGTCACACGCCGTGCTGTTCATGAGCGGCGCCTTGCGGCCGTCTCGGCGCCAGTCAGAACAGAAAAAGTCGTAGTAACCTACAGTCTGTCGGGTGTTATCCACATAGCCGTCTACTATGATAGCAGATTCGATATTCAGCGGCTCGTATGCCGCACGACTTTTTCCAGAGTCGCCCATCTCTCTTTCTGAGCGCATGATGTGATGCGTGTAGCCGGTGACATAGTGACCTCCCATAGATTCGCCAGCAATGTGCAGCGGTCGCCCACTGTGTTCAGGGAATACATCGTTGGTGAAGGCTCTGAGAAACTTGTGAATATCGCGGGCACCCTCCTCGAGGCTCACTGGAATATGACTGCGGTTGGTAATGTGTGAGAAG